TAGATTAGGTCTTTGAGGTTTGGGCCTTCCAGCCCATAACATACTCTTCGGTTCCTTGGGCAGATTCATATATTGACGTTGTGTAACTTGTGTTATCCCAAATTCCCAATTCCCACCCATTAGGCCATCATGAGGCCTCGGTGAGGCCTAATAGTGGGTTCAGTATCATGAGGAAAGGCCCCTGCTGCGTAATTGGGTCGTGGATCACTTAACTACACAGGGCAAAAGAATCGTGGTCTCTTTTGGTTTTGCCATACGCATAGGCATAGCACATGTTTTAAATTGTCTCCCCCCACCCCATTTATGTTGATTTTTGACTTTAAAAAAATTACTACCATTGCCTAAGAGTTTCACATTTTACATTTTAGATAGTAATAAATTACAAAATATAAATTATTAAATAAAAAAATATTCTAATGTTAAAGAGTCTGTCTCTTATTTAACGGTTTAAGTTATATAATTTTGTTTGCATGACACTTTTTTAATTACTTAAAATTGTAGGATTTAAAAGCAATAATATGTGAATAAGTTTTTTTTAAAACAATTTTATTTATAGCTTTTAAATGTAATTCAATAAATAAATAAATATAATATTATTAATTTTTAGTAAAATAAAAACATCTTATTATTAAATATAATATTATATATAAAAAAAGTCCCGAAATCATTTTTCAAGATTTAATTATATTCATTTCCTTGACCAAAATAACAAAACAACATATTTTGATAATTAAGATTTTAAAAATTTTAAATTCAAATTATGAGATAAATGAGTAAAAATTTTTAAAAAAATTATTTTCTATTATATAACTTATTATCTAATAATAATAATAATAATAATAATAATAAAAAAACAATTAGCAAGATGTCAGTTCTCTTCGCAGCGAAAGGCATGTTGGTCCTCTTATGCTAATCAGATTGAAAAAAAAAAAAACGAGGAAGGAAATTGTTTGGCTATGAGGCACATGGCTCAACGTTTCCTTCATTTTTGATTACTAGTTAGACAATTGTTTGGCTACAAATTTATGTTTTTCATTTAATCACCTTGGGTGGCCTACCCTCCCTTGAGAGGGGATGACTGGCTATGGGTGCAGTGTGGAGGTTCAAATTGAAGACTCCACCCTCCTTGTAAATTGTGGTCCCTTTTCCACCACGGTTACCCTTTTTTCTATTAAAAAAAAAAGAGATTAAACTCATAATTTGATCCCTTAATTATTGTATAGATACTTAAATTAGTCTATAAAATAAAAAAAATTTTAATTTGATTTTTAAAGTTTCAAATTTTGACTCCAATCTTTTTTTTTTTTTTTATCAGTCAGTGAAGATTTAAATTTAATGGAGTACAATTGGTACTCCTACCCATATTGTACAGATAAAGAACTACCTAAAATTGACTCCAAGTTACTTTATTCATTCAAAAATAATTGACATGTCACATTATTAATATAGTATGTGGCCACAATCTTTTGCCTTCAAATAATAGACACATTAATTTTATTTTAACAAAATGATTAATTTGGAGTCAAATTTGAAAATTTTAAGAAGTAAATTAAAGTTTTTTTTTAATTTAAAAACTAATTTAGAGATTTGTACAATAGTTGAGAGATCAAACTGAGTGTTTAAACAAAAAAATTAATAATAAAAAATTTAGATTATAAATAAGACATAAAAGCTTTCTAACTCTTCCACAGCTTTCGTTATTGTCATTTTTTAAATTGTTAAATTTATTAATTTTTAAATTTTTAAATAATTAATATAATATTTAAAATAATTATTTATAAATTAATTTTAATTCATTAAATAATGAATATTAATTATTTTTAATAATTAAATTAAAATAAAAATTTAATTATTATTGATGGCCTTAACAAACTCAAACATAGTGACAACGAAGGCCTTTTCTTCGCGAGTCCAGTTTGCAAAATTTATGAATGTAACGCCACTTCACGTGCATGTTTGTAATTGTTGCTTCATTTCGAAGGCAGTGGGAGGTACGTATTTAATTACCCTACCTATTTTGCTGTGGCCATTAATTTATTTTTTTTAGTATTTAAAAATTATATTAAATTTTAATTAATTTAAAATAAAAAAAAAACTCTTTTAATATTTTGATTTACAAAATTTAAATTTAAAATTTTATTTAATAAAAATTAAGTTTATTACACTCGAACTAAATCATTGGTGTGGTCACTAATTTGATAACTAAGGAGGAAATTTATCCTAAATTTTTGTTGCGTGTAAATAAGATCTCTTTATTATCATCTCACCAATGAAACTCTGCCCGGTGATCAGAGGTGGTAGTCCTTTTTTTTTTTTTCTTAAATGGGTTTGAGGTGGTGGTCTTAATATATGTATTTAAATTTTACTGAATTTTTGGGTTTTGAAAAAAAAGAAAAGTAAAAGTTAGAATTCTTGGACGTTTAAAATATAGGGGACTGTCCCTTAATTATATTTCATCTTTCTTGTTCGTACATTTAAATCTTTTATTATCATTTTTAATATTTTAATTTGAAGGACGATTGACTTTTCATAATCCCTTCTAGAAAATGAAGAAAAAGAAAGGAAAACAGACGATTTTCAACCAATTAAATTAAGGTTTGCTTACCTTTCTTTCATTTATTAGTTGGACCCATCTTTAATGGCATGTTGTTGTAGACCTTTATTTTAGTTCCTTAAAATTTATAGTACAATTTAAGAAAGGAGGAAAAATCAGTACGTCTTAATAATAGAAATGTTAAAATATTTAATAATAATTATATGATAAATTTAATAAAATTAAGATTTATATTATACTTTATATATTTAATAATTGTGATTAAATATTTTAATATTTTTTTATGTAGAAACGTCTTTTTTTCTTTTTTTCATAATTTAATACTGTTTTCAGGGCACCAGTTTTTGGGTGCAACTGCGTACCAAACTGGCAATGTTAAAAGGAAGAGTGAATAGGGGTTCAAGTGATGATAGAACCTGCAGAAAAGGACTGAAGACAGATGATGAGTTTAACATTACATGACTATTTATTTTGCTCTGGAGTTGTAGAATGAAGATGGACCATTTATCCCTATCCACTCTCTATTTTGTTTATCTGCTCACATGAGAAAAGTGATTGTGTATTTATGTTACAGGTAGGGATAGCGGGTTGTTAGCTCCCCTTTTGAACTCTTATAATGGTTCTAAGTGGCTTGCCAATTAATTGCCATACCACTCTGCAGAAGTACATCATAATGATAATTTGGGGAAAAAAACCTGTATACACAAAAGTTGAACCCCCACAATTTTAGGGCTTCAACCTCTTTGTTTTCAATAGCATGAAATTGAAATAAAGTTTTAAATGATTAAAAATTAAAGCACTATATTTTGTCATTTTGTTTTGATTTTAACTCTTAAGTGTCAATTATTTAAGTGATACAATGGTAATATTTTTAAATTTTAAGAGGCATGCCCTGAAATGAATAAAGTAGAAAGTAGAGCATGTTGCCTCCTATACAATCCAAAATAAAACTTCTAGTAGAAGAAGGAATTTTTCAAAACAATAGAAATTATCTAGTTTAGTTATGATTTTTTTTTATTAAAAATAAAAATTGTTGAGTTCATATTATATATTATACAAGTAAATAAATTAAATAAAATAAAGGGACTCTCTTTTGTTATATAATCTCATATTTATATAAAAAAAAAATTGTTGTCAAAAAGTAAATTTTCAAAAGAGTTTCAGTTTTTTATCCTATGTATTATACTCTAAACCTTACTTCCAACTGTCTTGCTAAGAAAAACCATCAAAATTAATGAAGTTCCCCACTTTTGATAACTGCACACCTGATGTACAATGGCCATTTGTCCCCACAATCTCTCTCCTCTGTTTCTGTCAAAGATAACTGATGAGATTTAAAAAAAAAAAAAAAATGAAGGAGCTTTCTTTTGCTTCTTTTCTATCTCTTGTCCACATCTACTACCAGCCATTGTTTATCTAAGATTATAGTCAATCAAAATGAAACATCAAATTCTCATGACATAGAAAAAAACAAGTTTTCAGTTCAGTCCCTACATCTTAACCCTCTCTCCCATCATGAGTATCCTGTGTCTACTACCACCCATGTGGGCTTGTTGCTTCTCTTTGTTGTCACCTGTAATCCTTGCCTCACCAGAGTCAACCGTTTCCACCATTTCTGGTTCTCTTCTGCTTGTTAGGAAAACACCCATTTCTCAGTTTTCTGCAGAAATGGAAGCTCAATCTCCAGGTATTCAAAAATGAAGACTACATTGCCTGGAAATTTATGGGGTTCTGTTCTTTATTTGCTTAAATGGACTGTTGGGTGTTTGCAGCATTGCACAGACATTTAAACTCATAATTTAAGCCACAATATGGTGTAGCTTTGTGGATTTAGTGTGTTTTGTTTGGTCGTGCAAGTTTTTACTTTTAATTTTCCCGTTTGGTTGCTGAGAAAATGTAGGAAGAGAAAGGGGCCAGAATTATGAAGTTTGGGAGCAGGAAAAAGCACCCCTAAATTGTATTTAAATTTAATTAGTTGGCCTCGGAACAATGTTTTTCAGCTTTTTCTGGAAGAAACTGAGGCAAAATTTTGAATTTCTAATTGTTTAAATCAAGATGATTAAAGTCCGTGGTTATTTATTGTATAGCTATACTATACTTTTGCTTCTAGTTTATCGAGATTTTGAATTTGCTTCTGGAAATCAATATATTTGTGTTAAAGCAGGCATTACTGTGGTCAGAGTGGTGCACCAACAAGATTTGAACAAGAGAATTCTTATATCTCTTATTGTGTCCTCCTCTCTACTTGGTGCAATATTGCTTTTTCTGTTAATTTTCTGGATCTATAAACAGAAAAGCTTGAGGAACTCCAACAAACAAAAAGGTATCTTCTTAACCACTCAATCACTTTGCTTTACTGTTCAAATTTATGGTTGAGAGAAAGTATAGATATTTATGCTTCTCGACTGCTCATGTGATAAAGATGTTGGAGAAGGGCTCTCACTGAGTCCAATTATGGACCGGATTAATAACATACGTTTAGCTGGAAAGAAAGGTTCAGTTCCTGTTATTGAGTACCAGTTATTGGAAGCTGCAACAAACAATTTCAGGGAAAGTAATGTCTTGGGTGAAGGAGGTCGTGGACGTGTTTATAAAGCTTATTTCAGTGACAAATTTCTTGCAGCTGTGAAAAAATTAGATGGTGGAGGATCTGATGCTGAAAGAGAATTTGAGGTAATATTCTGCATGGAATTTATTTTGATTATGTTCTTTGGGATGTAATGTTTCCTCTCAAGGGTTTTCTTTTCCAAAACTAAATTCAATTGCAGAATGAGGTGAAATGGTTGACCAAAATTCGGCATCAGAATATAGTTTCCCTTTTGGGCTACTGCAACCATGGTGAAACAAGGTTACTTGTATATGAAATTATGCAAAATGGCTCTTTGGAGAATCAATTGCATGGTATGGTTATCTCTTTCTTGATCAATAGATAGTGACTTACCGTAAGAGGCTGCCTTATTTGTTTTACTGCTGTCTTTTATGCACATTATAGGACCTACTCAAGGTTCAGCTTTATCTTGGGATTTACGGATGAAAGTTGCCATTGATGTTGCAAGGTATATGTTCGTATTACCAATAATGTTTTTTTTTTCACATGTCTTTGCTTTATGTACTCATAGTTCTGTCTATTGCAACTGATTGTTGATAGAGCGTTAGAATATCTTCATGATCACTGCAATCCTCCAGTGGTTCATAGAGACATAAAGTCATCTAACATTCTTTTGGATTCAAGCTTCAATGCTAAGGTAAATAATATATATGCCTCTCTACTCTCTTCCAAGTCTGTCTATGGTTACTAAAATGTTAATTAAAATGTTTCCATTAACTAGTCTTTTTTCCACCATTCAGCTTTCAGACTTTGGCCTTGCTGTGACTGCTGGGGGCCAAGACAAGAATGTAAAACTTTCAGGAACATTGGGCTATGTAGCTCCAGAATACCTGTTAGAGGGTAAGCTAATTTTCTACATGACCTCTTTTTGATCATTTGGAGAAGAATAACATGCTAACAAACACAAAACCAAGGGAGTTGAGGGCAAGAGAAGATAGTAGATCGGCATAGTTTCATGATAACTCCCATAAGGGGTTCATTGGCTTCATTTTGTATGACTTATACCATAGACATGTTTATATAGCAGTTATTTCTTGATCAGATACATACACCTTCTTCCTGTTCTATTTTATGTTGCCTATTCCCTCCCTTTCTTCAACCCAAAAAAAGAAAGGGGAGAGGGACCTGTTCTGTCAAGAGCATAGAGCAATAAAATGAAATGATGCTAATGCCAGTTAATGAGGGTATTACTTTTGTAGTTTCCATCTCATTGAGACTTATAAAGATGCGAGTAAAGGCAAATATTTCCCCCCCACCCCAACTGATCTAAAAGAGAAATGATGGTTGTGTAGAAGTTTTATCTTCTATAATACCAAAATGTCTAGATTTTGTCCATTGACAATCATGCTTTTTCTTAGGTAAGCTGACTGATAAGAGTGATGTATATGCTTTTGGAGTTGTCCTGCTGGAGCTGTTAATTGGAAAAAGACCACTGGAGAAGATGTCACCAAGTCAATGCCAATCTCTTGTTACATGGGTAATCTTTTAAACATTCCCAGCTTCTGCAGAAATTCACTTGAAGTCATAGATCTTGAACTTGGTTCTGTAACCATTTTTTTCAGGCAATGCCTCAACTCACAGACAGAACAAAACTTCCAAACATTGTGGATCCAGTGATAAAAGACACAATGGATTTAAAGCACTTATACCAGGTGAGTGGAATATAGATTACTTTATACATGTATATATGGATGCTATGTTTTGGTTAAGCCTTTGAATTGTATTTTGCACTGAATAGGTTGCTGCTGTTGCGGTGCTATGCATTCAACCTGAACCAAGTTATAGGCCATTGATAACTGATGTGCTGCATTCTCTCATCCCTCTTGTACCTGTGGAGCTCGGAGGTTCATTAAGAGTAACATGAAATATGTCTCCTCTCTGGCTACGCCTGCTTACTAATCATATATAGAAACTGGAAGTAGTGATTGTCAGCCATATATTATCTCACAGAAGAAGGCTTTTCCTTGTCGTCCTGGTCATTTTTTCAATACGACCATTTACTTTTGAACCTGTTTACAGTCAAATTATGTAACAAAGATAATTTTCTTTTCTTTTCTGTTTTGTTGTTTTTTTTTTAATGTTGCAATTGTAAAGTGGATGCATTGATGTGTTTTTCAATACAGAACTGTAGGATTATTTTTTTAATGTTTTAACTGTCACATGGGTCATAAGAACTTAAATCTCTCATCTTCTTCTCTACTTTTAAAGGGAAACATTCATGGACAGAGAACTAGAGTCCGATTTTTCCCACGAAAGTTTCCATAATGTCTAATAAAATAGGTAGTTCCTGCATGGGAAAGTTGACATTATTGCCTCTTTGATTGCATTATTGCCACTTTGTGCACATGGTCCAGCTCCCATTATCTCCCCTATTATATTATGGACAGACAAAAAGGGAACCTAAATAAAATACAACCCATTTTTGCCGCAGGTAAGAAGATACTACGTTATAAACAGACAAAAAGAAACCAAATAAAATACATCCCTTATTATCTCCCCACTATTAAGTAAAACATGCCTTGTTTCCGATGAGAGCAAGAAAAAGAAAAAGAAAGCGAAAACAGAAGGCAGAGGTCTGTCTTATGTCAGTTACCTTCATCTCAATAGGCAAACTACTAAGATATAAAAATGGTTTGAATTGCCATGATTTTGTCCATGAGTAATGCTAGGAACAGTTGCCATTTGCACTCTCCAACCAACACTTCCATTTTCATTAGGCCACGTTATGCTGGTTTAGGGAGAGGTAATCATTTCTTAGCCCAAGCAAACTTACGTGGCCCAATAAAAAAGCATGTGTTAGCTGGAGAGTGCAGGAGGCGAGTGCCCCTAGCACTGCTCTTTCTCCATTAGCTTTATTGTCTATACACATTGTTATTTTGTTCTGGAAAAATGTGACAACATTTCCATGATATTATCAATGTGTCAAGGAAAACAAGAAGGATTTGGAGAATATAAGGAAAGAATATTTCAAAAGAAGTACACAACATACAGCTTCAATGGTTAATTAGTTAGAAAATTGACCTGATTTTTTCTTCTTATTTTGGCAGCAGAAGAACCATGGCGTTTTCAAGGTGGCTCTGCACCAAGAGCACCAAGAACATGATTGTTAAGATTGTTCACCCTTGAGGCCATGTGGAGCTACATGATGGGCCTGTTCTTGCAGCTGAGGTCATGCTTCAGAACCCCAAATGTGTGGTGGCTTATCCCAACGTGTTCCGGGAACCATGGGCTATTGTTGCACCAGAGACCATGCTGAGTCTAGGACACAAGTTCTATGTTGTCCCCAAAAGCACTGTTCGAAAACTTCAACGAATGTCCGACAAGCATTCTCCTCATCCAATGCATCAATCCAGTGCAAGTGAGGAAAAGGAAAGCAGCAGGGTTTCTTCCACTTGTTGGTTTGGAAAAATTAGTAATCTAAAGGATGGATGCAGCTTCTCTGATGATAAATGCTTCAAGGGCATGATTTCTGGGAGCAAGACTAAAGGGCAAGAAGTGGTGATTCCAAGGAGGGAAGAGGACATACAAAGAAAACAGCCGCGGAACTCACAAAGGAGTCACCAAAGAGATTTTCATCATTTGATCATTGGCAACCTGTCTTGAGAGTATTGTTGAAGAGCATACTGTTAACTAAGTGGGTTTGTTTCAACTTTACTGTCCAAGGACCAAGATTGATGTGGTAGGAAGCTCATGAAGGGGATGTTTTAATGTAAATTGTCATATCATGAACTAGTCTCAAGTTGTTTGCCAAAGAAAAAAAGAACTAGTCTCAAGTTTGTGTGCCTTGAATCTTGCAGATAATCTCATCTATTAATTTTACTAGATGTTGAAGGTAAATAGTTGTTTTAGAAAGAATGAAAACGTCTGTAGGCACTGTTTGAACCATCTTATGAATTTTTGAGCCTAAGGTAAGGTCAATGTGACAATGTCCCCAACCTAAAAGGAAAAAATACATAATGGGAGTGCTATTTTTATTGCTTTTATTTGTATAAATGCTAAAATATATAGCCCTACAATTTCTTATATGAAGGGTAAACTACTATTCCCATCCAAACACGACGATAAGGTAAAATAAAGTTTTCCGCCCTTTATATTGTTTTTACATGACATTATATGAAATTGAAAAAAAATTATGATATTTTGACAATTAAAATATCATGAATAATAATAATAATAAATTTAAATATCTAAAATGAACTAATACTTAAAAAAATATTTATTAAAAACATTTGAATAATTTTACAAACAGTTACTGTAAGGATGTATTGATTTTTACTTTTTGACATATTATGTGGAAAAATATTTTAGGTTTACATGCAAATTAGTCACATGGATGTAAAGGGTGTACTTGCAATGATATAAAATTTTAATAACTTATATGCTGTAAGACAAAGAACTCAAGGACTTCATTTACAGGTCGTCTTGTCTTATTTTCTCTTCCAAAACCTCATCTGCGCAGCTCTTTCCTCCTAATCCACTAAGGGGAAAAGATAGAAATTTTGGTAAATTTTTTTTTCAAGGCTGTGTTTTCCATTGTAATTACGAGCTTAGCTCACAGATTTTCTTAATTAGTGTATACAAAAATCCTTCCTTGGAACCCTAGCATGAGAAGTGATAGCTACAATTAGAGGATTCAGCTGGAAAAGCTCCCACTTTTAAGGTAATTCTTGCAATAGATTGTGATTTCTTAATTTATTTCATGAAATGGCATTAAGATGATTAAAGTTAGTTTTGAATGGTAGCTTCTGGGCAAAATTTGGTATCCATTGAAAGATCTTGATGAGAACTGCGTGGCCCCGGATTAATTAGTGATTGAAAGTTATAGCTATGGAAAGCTTTATCCTGGACATGTTAAGTTTGGAAAGTTTGAGAGCTGACTTTATGCACAGTACTTTTTATTAAAGTTGTTTCTAAACTTAGTTTTCCAACTAAAAGGGGTGTAATTTTGATCACTACTAATTTTATCTCTCAATTCAGATATTGGAGCTAAAGGCTTTGAGGGAAGCTGATTTAGATATTAGTAGTACAGTTTGGTGTAGTGTTTGGAACCAATTTATATTTGTTTGTTGGAGAATTATGGTACTTATGATGTGGTTTTTGAATCATGAATCGATTATTGGTTTTTTATATTGGAAAGTAGATTCTTCATAATAATGAGTTGGATTTATTACTAGGTTAAATTTTGTAGCCTTGCATATCTGTGAACTTTCTTTGCAGATATGTGTAATCTTTTTCATCTTGTGGGATGGGCGTAATGATTCCCTGATGGAGCTTTTATATGAGGAACTTCCTAATATTTGAGCATGATAAGTCTTTCAAGTTCAAATGTTAGGACTAGTTGGGAGAAGGCTTTACAAAAGGAGTAAAGCCTATATGTGTTGTGTGACTTACAAGTGGACAATGACTTCAGTAATATGTCATTTCCCTCCTAGTTCACACAGAAAACAATGGTATCAAAAACCCATCCACTATCGGTTTTTGGCCATGTCTCCATCTATGGCATGATTCTTGTCTAGGGGACAGAGAATGGAAGATGAGAAGAAAGGATTACACTCAACTTACACAAAATATCAAATGGTACTGGAGGAAAGTTTATCAAGAATTTTGTAAGATCTTCATACTTCAAGCAACAAGGTATTATATCGTTCTATTTTTAGCTCATTATTTGTAATTTCATTCATATATAGTTCATGATGAGTCACATGAGTAGGAGGCAAGGCTTAGCAGTACGCCAAAAGCATTTCCTTCCTACTATTGAAGTCCTAATCACAATTAGGCTGTGTTGGTTATGCTGGTTTTAATTGTGGTTGGAAAAGAAGTGAAAGGTGATGGTGGTGGAGTAGAAAAGGAGGTACAGGGCGAAATTGAAGATTGGAAGTCAAAATTAAGGAACCATGAGTATGTATGAATGTATGAAGAGACCAATGTCTTAAGCCTTTGTGTGTGTGTGTGTGTGTATGTGTGGATGCAATCCACAGCGATAAATTAGTGAAGACTCGCAGAGAATAGCTATCGATCTTGTGCAAAGCAGTTTTATCCTTTCCAAATTTTGTGAATTTTTGAATAAAAATGAGTTTTAACTGTAATTCTTTTTCCTTTTAGATTCTCGAGAAATGGCACCAGCCAAAGCAAAGTTGTGTGAGATATGTGTTGCAAACAAGTGGATGTTACCATCATATGAATGCTCTAAAGAAGAAGGACCTTCTCACAGGAAAATGTAAGTATCAACATCCATACTTCATGAGGCTCTTATGGCTTTCCTCTTCTTATGAAAATTTAGTGGAAGCATAAAGGGAATACAGTCTTTTTCTCCCAAATTTCTTGAATTTGTATTTCTCTGAGTGTGTGTGTGTGTGTGCAGCATAACACTGGCAGAGTTGTTGGTTGAGTGGTGATTTGAGATGGTTTTTTTTTTCTTACTAATAAATGTGAGTATTTAACAGATTTACCTTCAAGGTTGTTGTTGAGATACAAGGAGACTTCAATACAACTCTGGAGTGCTTTAGTTCTCCTCAATCAACAAAGAAAAATGCAGCAGAGAATGCAGCTGAGGGCGCATTATGGTACCTGGGGCAAATGGGCTATTTTCCCAAGAACAAGTGAAAAAATTATGTTGACTCTTCATATAAAAGAAGAATCTTGAATTCTTTGATGTTTCTTTTGTTTTAACCAGCAGAGCACCTAATACCTGTCACCTGGGATAAAAGAACTAATCTTTTCGCCCAATGCTAAGATGATCTTGTACAATAAAAAGTACTTTAACAGAGCATTTTTGTACTAGTTTAAACTCATAACAACACTCATCTAATTACTAGAAAGCATAGCAAACATACAATATTAAGCCCAACAAGTCAATACAAAACTTTTTTATATCTTGATTCTTATTCAAGATCAGGCTCTGAATTCAAGCATACTCCTTCAAAGAAACTACAAATCAGAAGCTAATTAATCAAGCTGCACGTATGTGTTGAAGTTGTTGAAAATGTTTCTGGGCAACTTTGTTGCTGCTTACTGCAGGATCAGTCTTCTCACCTCCAGACACTGTCTCTTGATCATCAGACGAAATAAGTAAGCACCTGAGGGCATGACCAACGAGGGGAATGTAGGAGAAGAAAGCAATGGCTACTTTGAGATTCATGGCTTTGATGAATGAATACCGTGTCAAAGAGAGATGCGGTAGAATAAGTATAGAGAAGACCCTATCTGCGTGGTGAGCAAGTTGGAAGAGCATTTGTCAAGCCTGCTCTCTTGACTCAATAATAAAGAAAAGTCTTGCATGTTAAGCCATTGGTTGTTCGTTTTGATTCTTTCTTTGTCAAGATAAGTGCAGCATATTTCTTCCATTCGTTTGGCATCATGTCCTTTTACTCTTGTATTACACTGATGTTAAGCATATTACTTTGTCCTATTTGACTAAGATCAATAATTAACCACATAATTCTGCTCTCTCGGACAATGATTCTTGAATTTTTTTAGTAAAAAGTTTTTTGTATAGAGGGTATGAGATTCATCTCTTATCTTCTCTTTTGGTTTGACACTACTACAATTAAAAATAGGCCATTGATATGACAATTATGGAAAGATGAAGTAATTTATGGGTAATTAACTCTTTTTTACTCCCTTAAGCCCTTAAGAATAAAAATTTTTGTTAACAAGATGGGTGCAAATCTTTTTTTCAACTAAACCATAAACCAAGGGATCCTTCCCCATCTTTTATTCACCACCACCTTCAAAGGTTTTTCTTTTGCCAACAAAACATTGCATTCATTATATATAAGAAATAAATTAATTATATCACTGATAATCCAAAAACTGAACAAGAAATAGAAATAAACAAAACTCCGAAATTAAGATGACTGTAAGTAGAAGAAATTACCTTAGAAACATAAAATCCAAAAGCGAATACCATGGAGATAAGACTGGGTAGAGGTAAATCCACAAATAACTGAGTCCATGATTGAGAAAAGTAGGCCTCATCTTCACCAACAGCCAAGAACTAAAGCTCTTAAAAAGAGCACTGGAGTGTTGGAGCAATGACATCAAAGATATGACCTTGCTGCAACAAGACAGCTGAATGGTGCATCGAGCAAGCTCCATTTATGGCACAAAATGGTGCAGCAATAAGGCTACTTCAATGGAAAGAAAAGTGCAGCAAACAAAGCTGCTTTATGCAAGCAACTGAAATGAAATGCAAATGAAATGTAAATAGAGGCTGCAAGTAGTCCACAAAAGTGCAGCAATGTGACAGAAAGTGGCAGCAAGATTTTTGCAATGTTATAGTGTTTTCAATGTGCTTTTTATGCTTGTTTATGTATTGCAATTATTGATTGATTTAAATGTTAGAATAGATTTTGCAGGAAACATGTAACCATAAATGTTGGGAAGCAGGTGAAGAATACTATTTTTATGTTGAAAGTTTCTGTTATAAATGGGCAGAAATATTTATGAATGTTAGATTTTTGGGGTAAGAACTAAGAAGAACGGGTAAAGAGAACACTTGGAGATGGAGAGACACCCGGAGTTACCTCATTTGGGGAGGTGTGAACCCATTTTTCTTCATTCATTTTCTGCCATTACACATAGCAGAAACCTCACAATACATAAACACTAATTTCTACCTACCGCAATGAATTTTTTTACTTAACGCATTGACTAATTGTACAAGTGGCTGCTACTGTGCTGTTGGCGCAGCCTTCCCTTCTTTTCATTTGCTGCCACTGTGTTGCAGCTTTGACACCACAACTCCAACAATGAAAAATGTGAGAGAGTTGGAAAACAACTTCTCTTCTCCTCCCTTGTTGGATGAATGTCTGCACCCTTCCATGGCGATGTCAAATTCATGTTCTAAGTCCTCCTCTTCTACTCTCCTACAAGTCTACTCTCTCTATACCCTTTCCAAAAACCCAACATGGAGAAACAGATAGACCCCAACATAACTCCATAACAGAAACATCTACCAAGTTACCTTCCAACTTCTTCTCACATTGATATCCCAACAAACTTGGGAATAAAAGCATCAAAAACAACAGAACAAACTTAGGAGACTCAAAACATACATAAATTAGAAAGCAAAAGGAGAAGATGAATTTAGTAGAAACCAGAAATGGAAATTTCATTGAACAGAATGCGACAGAATTATTACAACTGCAAATGATATCCTTTTTATTTTCTTTCCAACATGATTGTCCAAGACAACCTCTTCGGTCAGATTATTCTGAAGCCTAACATTCTGTCACAAGAATAGATCAACAAAAGATGAAAAGAAAAAACAAGAAAAATGATCATTTCTTACAGTAGGGTTCCTGTGCTCATCCCTCCCAACATCCGCCGCCTCTGCCTCAAACAGTGTAGTGCTGCTGGATGGTCTCAATGTCAAGTCCCTTGAGCTTCACCACTGATTCCACATGCCCCTTTAGTGTGTGGAGTTCCCTTAACCTTGCAACCTCGGCACGCCTCTTGGCTTGTTCAGCTATCTCAGATAACTCCCTGTAGCTGGTTTTATCGTTGAAGATTTCTTCAGCCTCTGGAGGTTGGAGGCCGTGGAGGGTGCGTTGAGCCAGTGCCCATTGTGCCTCTCTCTCCCCCTTTCCATAATCCTTCCTCGTGGTGAAGGCGGTCTTGTTCTGGAGCAGATTATGCCAAGCCTTTCCCGTCAAAGTATATCGGATAAAGAATTTGATAATATCAAGTGGGATGTAGAAGATTATGCTGTAGATCCAAATAACACCAGCCCAACCCCAACCAATGCCTCTGACTCTTGCAAAGTCCCAGTTTGCATAAACAGAAATTAATGTAGCAATCTTCAAGAGGGTTGTATCAAAAGGAAAATCAATATGCTGGAATTGGCATATAAAAAGTGCAAGAGGAAAAATAATGCAATTTCAGAGAACTCACCAGTTGAGCTATGAAAAAGGCAGCCACAAGAAGTAAACCAGGGCGTTCAACAAAAGACCAGCTCCGAGAGCGAGTAACAAAGATGAGTGCCTGACTTACAATACTCACTTGGAGGTAGACAGCAGCTGTGAGTTCCTCAGTATTGTCCCTGATGGATCTTACCCCGAACTTATCCTGCAATTGTCAATTATAACAATCTATGAATTGTAATGCTTTGATTTTGAAAATACATAAGTAGAATCCTTGTTACCGAGAAGAAGTTGGACTCTTGAGCAGCCCAGAAGAAAACAACAGTCATAACTGCGAGGTAGGCACCAAGGACAATGCCGGTGGCAAAGATCTCCTTTAGCTTCCATGAGTCTGGGAGAGGAGACGGTTTAACCCTGTCTTTGGAAATTGTCATGATCGTTCCATCGTTGAGGACGGCAATGATGAGAACCATGAAAGGTGAGAAATTGAACTTCCAGATAAGGGCAAGAAGCATGAAGCCCAGCACAATTCGGATTGTTATAGAGACAGCATAGATGGTATAGTTCTTCATTCTTTGAAAAATTGCCCTGCTTGTTAAAACAGCACTAATAATCACACTTAATCCAGGCTCAGTCAGGACTATGTCAGATGCACCTCGAGCTGCATCAGTTGCATCAGCTACTGCAATTCCAATATCTGCTTTCTTAAGGGCCGGTGCATCATTGACACCATCTCCAGTCATCCCACAAATATGCTTCCTTTCTTGTAACCTTTTCACAATCTCATATTTATGCTCTGCATGGTTTCCCACCATCAATCCCAAAAAAAAAAAAAAGAACAAACTTATTAAACTAAGTGCCATTGAAAATGAAGATTGAAAATGATACCAGGGAAAACTCCTGCAAAGCCATCGGCTTTCTCAATAAGCTCATCAACGTCAAGAGTATCAACGCCGTCAATCTTGTCCTTGCCAAGGAGGGCAGATGAAGGATACATGTTAGTTCCCATGCCAAGCCTGCGACCAGTTTCCTTTCCAATTGCGAGCTGGTCACCGGTGATCATCTTGACATTGACACCAAGATGGAGAGCACGGCGGATGGTCTCAGCACTGTCATGCCTTGGAGGATCAAAAAGAGGCAAAAGACCCACGAATTGCCATGGGTCTCCAGCACTTTCCTTGGTCTTCTCTGATACAGTCTGCAAGATACAAAAACTTTTCCGTATTGTAAGTTCCCTTATTTTGTGTTTGCCTTGCTCATGGACGGAAACATTGTTTCAATCATTGCAGTTTACCTGTCTACAAACAGCAAGAGAACGAAGTCCACGATCAGCAAACTTATCAATAATGGCAAGAGCCTTCTTCCTCACATCACCTCTAAGGTTGCAGAGTTCAATGATCTGCTCGGGCGCACCTTTGCTGACCCGGTGCCAGTTTTCATCAGAGTCAATGTAGGTGATGGCTGTACGTTTGTCCACAGGGTTAAAAGGTAAGAAATGCACCTCGTTGATTCCTGCTCTAGCCTCTTTTGGGTCAGCCAACATTCCAACAATACAAGCATCAATAGCATCCTGGTTCTCGACTCTGGAGGCCCTAGCCGCAAGTTGCATCAACATGTCTGAATCAACATCCTTGAGGAACACCTCAATCATGGTCTTATCCACGGTAAGCTTGTTGAGGGTAAGAGTCCCAGTCTTGTCACTGCAGAGTACATCCATTCCAGCAAGCTCCTCAATGGCTGTCATCCTCTTGGTGATGGCACCTTGTTGCGAAAGGCGGTGAGACCCAATAGCCATTGTCACGGACAACACTGTTGGCATGGCAATTGGAATCCCTCCAATCAGAAGTACCAATAGATTGTCAATTCCATCCCTGTACCTCCGGTGCTGAATTGGGTACATCACAACAATCTCAATAGCCATCCCAATTGCAATGGAGCAGATACAGAAATTTCCTATCGCCGTTAACACCTGATCCAAATGCCATCCCACCAATGCACATCAGAGACAAAATATAATTCCCATTAAGAATTTTCACTGAAATTACCTTCTGGAAGTGGCCTTCATTGTTGGTGCTATCCACGAGGTGGGCTGCCTTGCCAAAGAAGGTGTGCACTCCAGTAGCTATAACAACAGCTTCAATCTCCCCTTGCTTAACAGTAGACCCAGAGAAAATCTCATCGCCGGAATTCTTCGTAACCGGTAGAGACTCACCGGTAAGTGCTGATTGATCAATCTTGAGCGGGTCACCCTCGAGGAGACGGGCATCAGCCGGTATGATATCTCCCAATTTGATGCTGATGACATCTCCAGGCACCAAAATTGCAGCCTCCTGCTCCGTCCACTTTCCATCTCTAAGGACCTTGGTCTTAGGAGCGAGACCGGCCATAAGAGCAGCCGCAGCATTACCGGCGTTGTTCTCCTCAATAAAGCTTATAGTGGAGTTAATGATGAGCAACACCACAATACCGACAAAGTCCTGCCAATCCGGTGGCTTCCCGCCTCCATTTGCCAAAACAATAGCCATAATTGCTGCGCACTCCATGACCCATGAGAGAGGATTCCACATAAATCCCAAGAATTTCAGAATCTTGCTTTCCTCCTTCTCTTCTAGTTTGTTTGGTCCAAAAATAAGGAGCCTCTTTTGTCCTTCCTCGCTGGACAGCCCTTCCTTGGTGCATTTCAACTGTTCAAACACTTCGTCCACCGGAATACGCTCCTGAAACACAAAACCAACCATTAATAATTCAACAACCCAAAAAAACCCAAAATCTAGAATGGATGAATTACTTACAAGATCAACATTCTCGTTCTTAATATCCTCCAAGCTATTGTCAGCCATTTTGCAAAAGAAGATAATGCAATTTCAACAGAAGCACCAGGACTCTTTCTGTTTGCAGAAAATACAAATTTTTTGTATTTTTTTTTAAGGTTAGTTATACTTAATTGAGTTAATGTACAAGAGGATTGAAGGGAAGAGATGTTAGTTTGTGAAGGTTTATATAGGGGTGTTTGAGGAAAGGAAGGAGAAAACGAATGAAGGAGCGGAAGTTTCTTGGTCCAAAGGTAGCGCATGTCATCCGCGCTGTTTCAGTCTGTTGCATGCACCAGCACCACACCAGACTTTCCTGTTTCTTAGGAGAACAGGATGAACAATGATAAATTGGAACCAAATTTGGAATCAAAATGTAGTGTAAAATAGAATTATAAATTATATCATTTAAAATATTAAAAATAGATTTTACATTATTTAATAATTAATTTTTTAAATATTATTAATTAATTTAATATTTTAATTTATATCACATTATTAATTTTAAGTTTTCATTATGAATTTTTTGTCCTTCCTATTATTACTCCTGTTATTGGCAAGTCTGTTTTTTTTTAAATGGTTTAAGCTGGGCCCAACAACTATCTTCTTCAAACTGGAGAAAGATATGGTCCGGCCCAATTATTACTTTCTTCTTTATACTTGAGGAAGAAATGGCCTAGCCCAATAACCATTTTCTTCACACTAGGGTAAAAGGAAATGGTTCACTTTTCAAAATGGATTAAGCACGGCCCAAAAACTATTTCTTTGCGGTTTGCACTTGAGAAAGAAAAGGATTGGCCCGGTCCAATCACCATTTTCTTCACACTGGAGAAAGAAATGGTTTTCAAAATGGATTAGGCACGGCCCAATAACTATTTCTTTTTACACTAGAGAAAGAAATGGCCTTGCCAACTTAATTCTAAATTGCCTCCCATGCAATAAAATTTTGCCATTTTAAAAAAAATGTTTTTTACGTATGTTGGGAGTGTTTAATTTACCTAATCAATATTTCTTAAACCAAAAGCTTTTAGAATCCGATCTTGTTTTAAGTCACATATCATGATTATCATCCAATGATGTCTAGTAGTTAAATTTAATTTAAATACACATCATTGAAAGATCAAGAAAAAAAAATCAATAAAAAAGTAATAATAATAATAATAATAATAATAATAATAATAATGATAATAATATAGAATATGAAAAATCAAGACGTCATGGTGTCAAGATGTCAAATCATAGTAGTCCATTAAGTGAGTTTCAATCAAAGACCCATTCAATAGACGACTATAATGAATGTTTTAACGTCAGAATATTTTAATTTTCATTTTTTTTGATAATAATAATAGTTGTTCTTGTTATTGTTGGTTGTTGCTATTGTTAGTTCCTTATAATTGTACAAAGTCTGAACATGTCCTTTGATTCATGCATATAGAAGCAAGGTAGGGGATGAGACACATCAGGTGAGAGGTATCCTATGAAGAGAGGTTTATTTACAGAAATTTGAGTGTCCCTATATTATTGAGGTAGGTATGATATGATGAAATTAATTTTGACCAACAAAGGTATGTCATTCTCACGAAAAAGACAATGAAGAAAAAACATACACATGGTTTCCCAACAAAAAATTGGAAAAACCATGTGCTGTGCCAATCCTCAGATGGTTAGAAACAACATGGTTTGGTTTGTCCATGTGAAGGTTTCAGGGAAAGGACAAGATCAAGACTTCGTCAAGAAAAGGGAATGTATCTGCACGATGATAGCAAAAAAATAGACTGAAAAATATGGGATCCAAAAATTAAAAAATGAATATATAGAATAAGTTCAATGAAGGTTTGACATAATAGTAAGATATAGCGAATCTAAAACTAAAATGTCCTTATAGTTTCAGTATATATATGATGTAATATTGTAACATGTATCTATAAAAATTAAAGGTTTTGGCATTTCTAGCTCCTGGATATAGGGGATCAACAAATGTTTTACGTGTTTTTCCAATTCCTTGAATTAATATTTGATATATGTTTCCAGTGTTATTTTGACAACCAAGAAACTTAAAGGACTCACCTGTTACAACTTATTTATTCAAAGTTTCATATAGGTTAAGGACTTATTTATTCAAAGTTCTATTAAATATTCATGATTATAATATAGATTGCAAAAAATTTAAGTATATATGGGCAAACCTTTTTTTTTTTTTTTTTCCCTTGGGTAGAAGGCAAAAACCAATAATTCTACGATTTTGTATATACCATATTTCAAAAAATCGATATGTTAAAGAAGTCCATTTCTTGTGTTATTTTTAACATCTTTAAAATTTTAAACTTGTTGATATTTTTCTTTATGTCAATAGACTCAACACGTCTATCCAAATTTTAGAGACATATATTGAAAACCCAGCTAGAGATATTGGAGGTTTAAATTGATCTTTGACTAATTTCAGGAAGTATAAGTACTATGTTAGGCTCCATTTGGTAAACAAATAGTTTGAATTGAAATATCAAGCATTTGAATTAAGTGTATAATAAATATTACCTCTGGAGAGATGGATATTGGTAGCTATGTTGTCTCTCTCAATATCCTCCTATCTCCATCATGTAGTGATAACCATGTGAATTGTAACATGCAAGAAAATGTGGGCACACTATTAGGACAACATGGTTGTGCATGTGAAGGAATGGAGAAGGTCGAAAAAATTACAGTGGAAATCACATGTTCATGGAGATGGATAGAATTTGGTTCTAGTCCTGTCTAGAAACCTGTGCAGACATAAATGCAAAACATAAATAATCCAACTAACTTCTATGAAAATGAGTCTGGACTGGCAAAAAAATAAAAATAAAAATAAAAAATAAAAAACAGCTAGTAGTTTCTATGAAATTAATCTCATGTTTGCCTCCATTTTCTTTTCTTTCCTCAGTCCTTAATCATTCACTAATGGCAATTTGACTATAAATTACTTTTCTTATATTATCTACCTGATAATTACCGTTATTATAATTCAAAATATTTAATTTATTTAATTAAAACTAACAATTGATAATTATTTATGAAACATCAAAACAAACAAACTTAATATATATATATATATAAAATAGTGCCTATCAACTTTACTTCCTAAAGACTAAGAGAAAAATCATTCAAAAATTACGTCGTTTCAATAATTTTTATTAAAAAAAACTAAACTACCATATTTTTAAAGTATGCATGAAAGTGATTTTTATCCTTTTTTTAAATTTTTTAGAAATAAGACGAATAAACACTAACCCCATATATATATATATATGAAGAGTAAAGCCCTTCAATTTGGTGGATGTTTCTTCGGTCATAAAACTCTCTCGATTTCAAGTATCTAAATCCAATGATAAGCAAATATAAGGTTAAACATGGGACGGAAATAAACATTGATTAATGCAGTGCTCATAGGGTGAGTGGCTTATAATTTTCTCTCCATGATTTGTACATGAGATTCCATGTACCATGATTAGAATTTGACTCCTTTTAATTAGCTTTTTAATGCTAAAATAATGCACCTCACCTTGAGTATTCTCATGATTTTGTCATCTCATCACTCAACAAAGTTAAATTAGCATCATCCATTGTGATTCCATTAGTGGACACTTCCAGTCCAATTTTATTGACCAATTAATGATTTCTTCTTTCTTTGCTTAACAAAACTATAGCATGTATTATATGATTGAGCTTTGAAAAAGAATCTACTTAAAATGGCATGCTTAACATTTAAACTTTGTTGGGAATAGAAGGATCAAATTATAATGGGAGAGGACTATCAATTTGTCTATTGAATTAATGTGGGGGACAAAAAAGTTTACCACTAATAATAGAGAATGGAGTTAGATTAGACAATGGTAACACTTTAGCCTTGTATTCTAAATTTTTTTCCTAACAAGTTTGTATCATACCCATCTGAATCAAAATACATAAAGAGCATGTTTGGTTGGAGAAATTTTCTCTCAAAATTTTTTTTATAAAGTTATTTATGTATTTTTACCTTATAATATTATAACAAAAGGAAGATAGAAATAACATTTTAGTTTTTATTTTTCTTGATATAATTTTTAACGAATTAATTGTTTTCTCCCACACTTTTTTTAAGAGAAGAAAGTTTCCTTCAACTTTAGTTATATAAGACCCACTTAATAAGTTTTACCCTAATTTATCATATATTATATTCTTCTTAAATACAAAAAAGTTAATAACATAATAAATTTCTAATAAAACTTTATTACAAAATTTATTAATTTTTCATATAATTCTTTTTATCTTTTCATGCAGTAATTTTTCAATAAAGTTGATCTCTAACCAAATTGCCTCAAAAGTTATTCATATTAAATAAAGACTGAAAGAATGGAAGATAAAGAGGCTAATTGGAATCCATCTTTAGATCTTAAGTTGGAATTCTGATACAAACTATATGTTCTTTCAACTTTACATTAATTTTCTTCACATATTATGTATTAGTTAATATGATTCTGTGACTAATTTGGGATAATATGATTAAATATACTGAATTTTTAAAAAGTAATCTTAATTTTGTTGGATAAGATAGACATCTGATGACCAAGTTGAGGCCTGTTAGAATTGCAGGCAGAGCAAAATCAAATGATGCAAATTCTGGCATGCTAAGCCCTCCAGCAAAATGACATGTGGGTCCATATAATGTTGGAAAATTGAAAGAACTTGTTTAATCCTCAAAAGTGAGAGACAAAGTGCTTTTAAGATGAGGATAAATAAGATTTTGGGTTCTGAGAACAGAACATGCCTTGCTTTACTTCTACAGAAATTATTCTTATACTTAAAAGAGTTTTTGGATTATTTGTATAAGAATAATTTAGAGTATATTTGATTTAAGAAAATGAAGGGGAAGGAAGGAATGGTTTTTTTAATCAATTAAATTATAACGTTAACAAATAATGCGAATTGATTAGTTAAAAAATCCATCCCTCTCCTTTCCTTCCCTCTGTTGCCCTCAAACAAAATATACCCTGAGAGATTTGAACTCAAGAACTCAAATTTGAATGTTTTGTTTTCAAACAACTGCCATAAATGTATGAAGAACCTTAACAGAAACAGGAAAGCCTGTGTGAAGGAGAAGCTGGGATTTCTGCATAAAACAACGGCTGGATTAAACTAAAGAGTCAAAAGTATTGCTTTTGAAGAAATTAAAGGATCTGTTCTGTGCTGGCTGGATGGATAAAGCTGTCAAGCTGCTTTCAAGTTGAAAAGTTTCAAGAAAACAATGAGAATGTTTATCCCGATAGACAATGCATCAGCATAGCCTCCACATACGCAAACCCTTTCACATTGGCTGCTGCTCATGATTCCTAACTAAACAGCTTAGCGGGGTTGGTAAGCATTGATTATGAAATCTTGTTGATTGGATTTTAGATATTCAATCCTATGTATTGGCTACGCAATTAACTTTCAATGCACCAAAACAAAAAATGATCCTCGAAAAAATACAAAAAACGTTGATATGATGGTAACTAAAAACAAATTCAGGGACCCCAGAAACATCCATATCCTCTAAGATTCCTCTTCCAATAAGCAACAAAGCAATGTGGAATTTCCAAGTTCCAACAAAGCTCCAAAAGAGAGAGAAAAAAGAAATGTAAAAAGAGTTTCATCTTAAGAAAAGTAATGAACCTTGTATTTCACATATTACCTTTTGCAGTTCCAGAATTTGGATTCATTTTACCTTTTTCGCGATCATTCATTTGTATTCACACTACTTTTTGCAAATCAATCTTTCATGAATCATCATGATCAATTGAGCCAGGAAAGGGAAAATGAAGGTTGCATTAAGATTTAGGAAGAAATGCTGCTACATATTTAAGGGCTTAGCCTGAACTATCAGGACAAAGTTCAATAGACCCATAATCCAACAACTCTTCTATCATCTGCTCAATATGATCATCCTCTAACACCATGGACTGTTCTCCTGAACTCCCCACTGAACTTTCTTCCTCAAATTCCCATTTGATCTCCGGCCGCCCCCAGAAGGCCTTTTCATCGCTTTTTGTGGTAATGTTGTAGCTTGTAGCCATGGAATGACATTGTGTTGTTGTGTATGGTGGCTCTTTTGCTGCACCCTTTTTGGCTGCTTGGAGTGCTGTCATGTGACATTTATGTAGCTTGGCTGCCAAGGTAGCTGAGAGAAGCCTTGAAGAAGAGGACTGAGGCTCGTTTGGATTGTATGGAAAATTTGTCCGTGCTTTTGCCCCACACATTAGTCTCGCAGCCTCGTCGTACGCCCGTGCGGCGTCCTCTGCCGTCTCAAATGTTCCTAGCCATATTCGGGTCTTTCTGTGAAACAAAAAACAGAGACGTTTCTTCGTTAGAAAACTCGAAGAACCTGAAACGTTTCTTTTTATACACAGAAATATAAGATTAAATTGGAAATGAGAAGTGAATTACAATATAGGGTGGCGAATCTCAGAGACCCAAGAACCCCAATGCCTTTGACGGACGCCACGGTATCGCTGCTGGGGCCTGCCCATGGTGGCTGCCACGAGAAACGTTTCAAAGATCTGTTAAGGGTGAAGTGTTTGTTAAAATCCCTCAGAGAGCAAGATGAGCAGGGGAGGAGGAGGGGGCCTGAAGGGGAGTCGTTAAGGGCACTTATATAAGCGTCGTTCGCGGCTTTAACACGATCAATGTTGGAATAGGACCCCACAAGTTTTTTTGTCTTCACTCACCGTTCTGTAATCTTCCTTTTAAAGAAAAAATAAACAGAGAAAAATAATGATTTGTTTATTCCCATTTCCTCAATTCATCTTCAGTTTCTGTATTTTAACCTCAGACACAATTGACAGATCTTTCATGTGAATAATAAAGCAGTGAAGTTATTTTGACTGATTGACAATACAAGTGTAATTCACAAAAATATATTAAACCAGCATCTTTTCTTGTGCTTTTGCTGTTCCTTCTACAAGGATAATAGGTTGTTTCCAAAATGGAATTGAGAAAACATGGTTAGCAAAATTGTGCTTATTTTTTACATGCCGCATGCGAATTATATGGCAGAGATGGCACTCTTTTTTCTTAAATCTCTTGTTTTTCTTTTAAAATTTCAACCATAATAACTATTTGAGACATTTCTTTCGAGTTAAAATTGCTCAACTCTTATTTTGGGTATAAGCAAGGATGGTGTTAAACCTCCTCCTCATTCAATTCATGGTGAAATATAGCAAGTATTAGTTACATAGATATATATGAGATTGATAGCACACATCGACAATCATATGTTCATGCCATTTAGTATTAGAAACTCAAGAATACATTTTGTAGGTGATTATGTTAGCTATGGAAGGACAAAGTATAGAGTACCTTTCTTAATAGCAAAGTCTCCTTTCAAGAGGTATATAATAGATTTTTTTATTTGTAGAAGATTGGTTTTTAATTTAAAGGCAAAGACTATTACATACAATAATTAAAAGATATATGGAAATATAATTTTAGAAAATTTTGAGTTTAAATCACTAATATTCTATGTTATTAGAGGGGTGAATTGTATTTGTTGTAGTAGTTTTTTTTTTTTTTTTTTTAACATGAAAAAATGAAAAAAAATAAAGATAATTTAATTATTATTGTAACCAATAAATCTTTAATAAATATAAATTCAATGCACCTAAATCAAATTAGTCAAAACTAAATGTATATATTTGTTATAAGTTAGTGGATAAAAGTACATGGCTTACATCATATTTACTAAAAATAGGCAGCCTACCCACATGCCACTATATAATGTGAGGGCAGAAACCCCAGGTATGTGATGTAATTTTCAAGCCCATACCATGGCCTCAAATGTAGGTCATCAATAGCTGCTATGTTTGACCATGTACCACCCTTTGGCGTTTGATTTTGCATGATGAAAGCGAACTCTGAAAAAAAATGTTACAATTTGACATCAATGTACTCACTTTTTCTCCTTCATTCAGTCTACAGACCCCTAAATGTAATGCTTTTTTGGCGTAAGTGATCAAATTGCCGCATGATATTTCATAGCTTACAGCATGACTCTTTGGAACTCTCATATGATTGTAAATTTTGCCCTAAGTAAAGCCCTTTGACAAGGAACAATGATGACCAAATCTGAAATACTAAACATCCACTTGAGTTTTATGGATTCTAGCCATCCATGACCATATATTGTATGTGTTGTAGCAGCAGCTTCACGAATGTGGTAGTGTAACTAGTGTTTATAACCAAAAGCGCTGAGGTATGATTATGATATCACCAATCCTCCTCATCAAAGTGAATATAGAATGGTCAGTTATGCATCTTACTAAAGAAACGTAGGGAAACGTAGGGTGACCATTGATATCAAGGAAAAGCTGGAATGCATTTGTAGTAATATCTCTCCCAGATCTAAACCAAAAATACTCCTTAAATTTTGGGAATAAGTTGGAGTTTAGGACCTGGTTTGTAAGTAGAGGACTCATAATCATGATAATGACTCTGCATGTTTGTGTTCTGTTTGAAGGGCTACGGTTCTGACTTCTGAGTTTGTTGTGACCTGTCTGTCAAGCTCCTGTCTGTTAAGCTCCTGTTCTGTGTTTTTTTGTGGATCAAAATCCACTACTTTTTTGATGAATTGATTCACAATCTAATCAAAACCTCTTCTGTGATACAAGTCAAAGGGCGTGCCATGCTGGTTTCTAAACATGGTGCATGTTGTAGGAACAAAATCAAGCAACCCAACAAGAAAGGAGATTGTATTATGAAATAAAACCCCCCAAGATTTCCAAAAGGAACTACATTTCTTCAAAAGGACTTCATACTTTGTTCGATACTACGACCCTAAAAAGGGATTTGGGTTGTGACTTAGGGGCAAAAGGCAAAGATAACGCGTGCTGTGACAATCATAAATAAAGTCCAAAGAACAAAAAAAGGAGATGTTTTGAGAATTGGCATCATGTGTTCCTTTCTTGACATTTACTCAACCGAGACATGTATTATAAATGAAACACCTGTTTGAAAAAGTAAACGAGTTCCCTAGCTATCATCGTAGAAAGTTTCTTCAGAATCCATTCTATCATTGATATTGCCTACTTTTCAGTAAGAATAAAATTGCATACAAGAAAATGATCATGAATTTAATCATAGCTTTCTGCAAAAGAAATATGTATTTTAGTCACTGACTCTGTTTAATGTCCTAAAAGATGTTTTAGAAATGGCATGATTCTGGAGAACCCATTATTTCATTATTCATTTCCTTTCGGTAGTGAACTAGAAAGAGAGTTAACCAATGCTAAATAATCTCCATTAATAATAAATGAATAAAAATCCCTCTTCCGGTAACCTTTGACCATTATTTGTTTTTGAATTGTGCAGCGATTGGAAACTAAAACTTCTTACCAGAATGAAAGGATGCTCTTTTGTCCATTATACAAACAACTTTGAATCATATAAAGGAAGACTCTAAAATGTTTCAGTGGGATCGAAAGATTAAGCTCAAAATTGTAATTGATTGAAAACGTTAATCCTCACATGGAATAGAATCCCAAAACAGTTGAACAGGTTGAAATTAGTGAGAAGATAACCGTATGAGAAATTCATTCCTAAACCAGACTACTATCATGAAGATTCACAAAACAGTTGCTCAAGAGGGAAAGAATGGCTATCAACAAACTAGAGATTGAAGATGTTCTCTTTCTACTTGGCTCTCAATCACCACGATAAGAGACAATATTCACTTTCTACCACCGGCTCCTACTCTCGGCTTCCCCTTCACTTCATTTTCCTGTGCATTGAAAAAGGTTCATTAGTCACACATTGAGAAATAAAAATAAAATAAAATAATAAAAAAAAGGAGGTAACTAAAACATGAACAGAGAAGCTGCACTAAGGGAACTAAATGATTGAATAAAATTAAGCACGTTATTATACCTGTGGCAAATGCAAGAAAATATAGGTTTTTGCTGTTCCTGGGTTGTGATTTTCTGCACCCTTGCTCCAGTCGTAACAAACCTACAAAATGGTCAAAGTTGAGAATTATTCACAAATCTACCCCACTTAGAGAACATTGGTATCCAAGCATGTTCCGGACATACCGAGTATGCAAATATTGATCCATCGTTGTTAAAAGCACTGCAAGGAATCGGTTGACTGCATCTTGACATGGCCTGTAAATTGGAAAAAGTTGATTATATAAACTAAACTACATGTTGGGGGGGATGGGGGGAACCACTACAGAATAATGCAATATTCTAGATCACTTCGGCACTTCCAGTTTGAAAATAAAAACCGTAAAGGATAAAATAAAGCCTTCTTTTATCATTTTCCCTGTCCCATTTGAAACAGCAAACAATAATTATAATTGGGAAGAAATATGAACAATTATCTCTAAAAAGAAATAAGTAACAAATTATTCATCAAATATATGAATTGCTAAATTAAAATGGTCATTGGCAGACCATAGCTGCAGGCACCATCAAGCACCAAACTTCCATGGATTGCACCTGCCTTTTCTAATAGATCCACTTTCACCAGTCTCATCTCATCTCACTCAAGAAAGTGACAAAGCCCGAGGGTAGTGTCACATCTAGAAGGGCACATTGTCAAGCAGCCTGGAAAAAGGATGATCATTTTCCTTGGGGCAAGCTTGACAATGGTGGCTTCTAGATGTAAGGCAGATGGTAGCAGTGTGCAACAGTTGAACCAAAATTAGCTTGGAAGAAACACTGAATAGTGTATGAAGTATAAGGATGAAAGGAAAGGTTATGGAAAAGTACTTCTTCATTTATTAAAATTAAAAACCCGAGTTTCACACAAGAAACACATTTATACTGTCAGCCCACCAAGTCATCAATGCTAAATATCAATCACATGGTAGATTCAGCAACTCAGAACAGTAAATTAGCATATCAATCAAGCACACCCCAAAAGCTCTGTCCAGAAAGATATCAGAAAGCATACAGCACATACAGTCAATGGCATTATTCACACCCAAAATATAGAACACAGGCCAGATTTATTAAACTAAATTTTAAAGTAAGGAAAAAATTGAGTCTAACATTGCTCCAGTTCAGAACAGAACAGATCCTAAGCTGAGAGAACATATAAGTGTTAACTGATTCATTTAAAAAAATTAGGAGTACCTTCAGTCTCTGTTTACTATCCTTGTCCCAAAAATTAAAAGCACCATCAGACCCAGCAGTTGCAAAAGTGTGGTGAATCTGAAACAAAAAAAAAAAAACGCATATGAGCTAGTATCATTGTATTGAGAAATAATGAGAAACAGGCATATACTGAGAAATATTATGATCCATAAAAAGTACAAACAGAAAGAACACAAAACTTACAGGATGGAAATTCAAAGAATTTACTGAGTATATCTCAGCGCCTTCCCTATGGCATTTGAAGGTGAAGTTTTTACCCTGTTGTGCATCATCAAGGTGGTGTACACCAACCCTTCCCTCAATTGAACCAACCTAAAAAGGTAAAAAAAAAAGAAAAAAAAGAATCAACAACAGACTTTGAATTGCTTCATTATCGTTCTAAATATAAAAAATGAAGAAGTTTAAAAAAAAAAAAAAATCAGTTGCCTCTAACAAAACTACATTAAAAGTAGATAATGATTTCAGAAAGAAAAAGAAGAAAAAAGAAAGACAAAAGTTCCTAACCAATGCACGTTAGAAATTTTGATAAAAATAAAAAATAAGATTGATTGGTAACACCAGAAAACCAAAAAAATTCCATCAAAAAGGTGAAAAAAAATTCCATCAAAAAGGTGACAAAAAATTGATCAAGTCATAGTTATTATGACCATCTAAATTCAACCAGAACTACTTACAACAAATCTTAAAAAAGGGGGACTGTGGTACTGCAAGTTATCATTTAGGAAAGCAAAGGTGATGTCCTCCAACATTTTCACTGATATTTATTTAGCCAAAAACTTGAGGAAGAAAGAAACAAGGGGAAAGTATGTTTGATCATGATGCCAGCAACTTGCTGTTAAAAAAGAGAATAAATGATGACAAATGACTACGTACCAAGAAACCTTGCTGATCCGGGAAGGCAGCAACACATCTTGTCTGGTACTTCAGTGGTGAAATGACTCTCTTGTACTCAGTCTGTTGGCATTTGAACAAATTATTATTTTCTATCCTGATAATTTGATTTACAAATTATAAGATTCTTATGTATGAAAAGGATGTTAAGAAATTAAGACCAGTCAATCTGCATTCCAGTCAGCATTTAGTGAAATAAGTGATATCATATAGCACAAAAGCCAGTGTAAGATACTCTGGAATCTGGATATATTATCCAAACAAAAATGACAGAAATTGATGGCATTCTTTCAAGATATCTTTAACATCAAATAATAATAGATAAGAGAGGCAGGAAGGGAAGGACAGAGGGGAAATTGAAACGGTTGGGAGGTTCTGGCGGGCAGATTGTAACAGTTAAACAAACTTAATATAGTAACATCATAAAATGAGAAAATGCACCTGAGGGTTCTGCAAGTTAAAAACAATCAGATTTCTATCTGCAGTACCAACAACCATCAAAGGATGTTTCACTGTAAGTGCATAGCAACGATCAGGAAGCTGTTGAGTATGTACAGGATTTTGCTGCCTTGTATCCCAGTATCTTAATTTAGTTGAGAAAATCAATGGTAGAACCAGTCAAAAACCACACAAAAATGTCAAAAATGGAAGGTAGCATAATCATGTAGAAAAGCCAGTGACAAGTAGGAGCTACAACTTGAAAAGATGAAATAGTAAGGTAAGATTAAGAAGTACATAAACTAATACAGACATTAAAAAGTAGTCATTAGAAAATCCACTATTTGTTTCAAGAAAAGTGCTCTTTTAACAAAAGATATTCTTCTATATCTTTGTGTTAATATGAGCATGTGTACATGCCATTCCGACACATTTGTGGAAAGAGAATTTCCTACTTAAGTTACAGAATGTCTACATGCACACTTCCAAACTCCCACTCTTGCCCAAAACAATCACAAGGACAATTTATATACCATATTAGAGCATGATCCAGTGTGGAAGCTTCATGCCTCCACATCAAGCTAAGTCACCCCCAATTATAGACACAAAACAATCATGAACGTAATTCTTATGCCATATTAGAACAGGTATCCAGTGTGGAAGTCTTTGAAAACTCCACAACAAGCAAACTGCTAATTTGATCCAATTAAGAAATATACCACTTCTAGTTAACCATAAACTTAAATTGATCGTAGACTTTCTTTGATCTCCAAGTCAACTAAACCACCTATCAGTGCCAGGAAGGCAGGGCTGCTTCCAAACAGAATATGAAACAATCAAAGGTGGTGGTATCACCTAGACTTAGAATCTAAAACCATGATTCTTTCTACTATTTAAGACTTCTAAAAAAAACAAGAATGAACTAAAATATATGACAATTTAATCTTACTTCAATGTCTTGTCCCAGCTCCCCGAGACTAGGAGGTTCATCCCTGGGATCCAAGCAACCTCTTTAACTGGGGCATCATGCATGGCAACAGTCACTGCCTGACCACCAGACAACAAAGACCACATCTTAACCTGCTTGTCACAGCCTCCAGAAAACACAGTCGTCCCATCATCCTTCCAAGCCGAGCACAGGACCTACCCAAGCAAGAGAAAAAGAAATGGCATTATACGTTTTCCTGCAATTACAATGTACAAAGCACATAAATGGGTTTCCAAATACTCTAAAACCCTAATTTCTTACCGGCTGATCATGGGCTATGGATGCCTTAGGCGTGCTAGCAACAGAAGCTCCATTACGTAGTATCTCCCAACACCTTACCTGCAAAATCGTACAAGGATGTTAACTTCTATATCTCCCAACAAACCCAAAAGCAAGACTCGTAAAGAACAGCATTAAACCCACTAAACCCTCACAACAAAAAACTAAATCTCACAAACCTGATTATCCCATGAAGTGGCGACCAACAAGTTGGCATTGGGACTGAAACTAAGGCTTGAAACGGAATCGCTAGGTGGTTGAGAAACCTACAAAGGAAGATTTCAGCTGAACCGTGGCAATAATCAAAATTAATCTCGAAAAAATCGAGGGAGAGAAGCTTAATACCGTCATACCTCAATGGATTTGTTGGGGTTATGATTCCCAGGAATGGTGGTACCGAAGGTGGCCATGAAAACTGCGATCCAAGATACAAAGGAAGATTAAGAACTACAGTAAACTAACTGCAAAGAAAATGCGGGAAAATAAAATTACCTGGAATTGGAAGAGTAGGTTTTGAATTGAATGAAGAGGGAAAATGAGGAAGACGGCGAGGGTTTTATACTTGAGGAACGGACGCGGAGTATGGAAGTCGGAGTACTCGGGGATTGGCGTAAGATCAACGCCGTCTGGTTTAGCCGAACGCTCGTTTTAGCTTTTAAGGGGGGTGTTTGGTTGGGAATAACTTTCCCCTTAAGTTCTCCAAGCGCCTAAATTCTCTCAAACTTAATTATACATTTTTATACATTAACATTAACCTTAGGATAAAATAAGATTAAGAATGATATTTTTTATTTTTATTTTTCTAGGTAAACTTTAATTTATAAAGCTTTTTTCTTTACAGAAAGAAAATTTATTATAACTATTCTTATAATAAATTCGCTGAATAACTTTCACTAATAATTTTTTTATATTAAGTTTTTATTAAACATAACAAAATTAAAAAAAGTGACAATTTACGGACAGAAATCTTTTTAGTTGGGACTGAGGGAACTTTTTTTCCTTAAAAAAATAATTTTCATATATCATGGTACTTTTTTTTATTAGAATTAATTGTTTTAATTTAATTTTTTTATTAAATTTGATCAAATAATTTTATATAATAATAAATAATAATTAATTTTTTTATACAAAGCATTTGTTGAGTATTTTTACTTAAATAAAAAATATTTAATTATCATTTATTTATTATATAAATTTATTAAGTTAAATTTTACGTAAAAAGCAAACTGAAACAATTAAAATTAACTGGATATGGTATCAAATTAATAATTTTGACCAACAAATAAGTTACGTATAAAATTTTAGTGGTAATTTCACCCTTAATTTAAAACAAAAAATTATTTTGTATTTTTAAATGTACTAAACTGTAAAATATGATAATCAAATTAAAAACAGCAATAATTTTTTTCTCCAAAGTGAATGGAAACCTATGGTTGATGGTCTTATGCAAACTGGTGGTGAGTAAAGCGATTTTTGTTAATAGAGTGTTTCTTGCAATTTTTTTGGTTCTAACTAAACTAGTGATAAAAAATCGTAGTCTCCGGATGTAGCACGGTAATAAACATATTATACATCAAGGATCTACTTAAAAAACATACAATTGGACTGATCTTTTTTACTTAGTGGAATTGTTGAGGATAAGA